GTCAATATGCTCCCTGGCAGGATTCACCTGCAAAATAACGCACAAATAGGCATTGATCTGTTGCTTCGATCGGCTTTTCGAAGTTAACGCGCCTTGTTTCTCCAAATCATGAATAAACAAGAAAACGGCCAGGCCGAGCAGTGCAGAGAGAATCGCGGAAAACATTAAAAGCAGAGCAATCTACAGGGTGGCCCGAAAGAGTGGTGACCGCAGCTTGCACACAGAATTTCTCTGTTCCCTTATGGGTTTGGGCAAGGCGGGGTTATGGATTCTGTTTCCTATAGATGTTGGCTAAATTTGAGCGTACGCTCAGCGCACAACGCAGTCTAGCTTTTACATTCGGAATTTAATTCCATAATTCAAAGTCATGGATTTTTTGAAATCGACAAAATCTAAAATAAATTCCTGTGGAAGAAAATACTTAACGATGCCTTTTCCATCTTTTTAACGAGCGTGCCTGACGTTTCCGGTGAAGCTCGTGGTGCAGCTATGGCTCAGAACCCTCCAACTTGGTCAAGTGACTGAGGCCCGTCATTAAGGGTTTTGACCAAACCGTTTTTTGCTCGCCAAAAGAGCCATCCTGCAGCCCCAACCCGAACCAGCAGAATTTTTTTGTATAGCCGGTCTGAAAGGCCAAAGTGTTGGCTACTTCCGATTCAATTTTGGGTTCGCTCGGAAAAGTCTTCGTCGAGTTATGAGCCAAATTCGGGCTGCATGTCTGCGTGCCAGCACCTCCGTTTTCCATCCGCTTCCGCGCCAGTTTTTCCGAGTTTGAGGCAAACAAATAAAAAAGTGGTTATACCATGTGGAAGATAATTGTTTAAGGAATATAATGTGCTAAAATGAGCTTTCCTCGATCTATAGTTTTTCAGAAAATCGAAAAAGTTTCGGTCACCACTCTTTCGGGCCACCCTGTAAAGGGTTTGGCTAAAGTGGAACCTGAAGGAGAGAGAGAGAGAGAGAGAGAGAGAGAGAGAGAGAGAGAGAAAGAGACTTACGTAAATGGAGAAAATTTGATTCAAAGCAGGACAATAATAGTTCGTGACGGTCGGGTCGGTGACCAAATATGCACGTGTCGGAAACTTTAAATTATGTGTTTAAATCCTACTTGTTAGCACTAGGCTGTTTCAGTAACACCGAAATTCACCGTTTTCGCACGTGAAAAAGAGTGAAAAATCGAAAAGAGTGAAGAGGAAAATCTGATATGTTGTTTGATAAAACAATTAAGCCCACCTCCCACGCCAAAATCACGTTTGATGATAAGGATTTCATAAAGCGCGTTACGGCCATCATACGCCTTCGCAGAACGGCACCCATACCAAGGAAACCCGTAAAAAGAAGGAAGCAATGCATGGGCTGAAAAATAGCATTTCACAAAGTCGTAATAAAAATCTTTGAGGAACGGTATTGATGCCGTCGCTCGAAAATTGATGGCTAGGACGGGGAAGTTTGGGACCGTGTTGAGCAAGAGAATCGAAAAATCGAACAGAAACAGGAAGGTCTGAAAGCTTGGATCCCTTGATAGTTCGAAGATTTACAGCTATCTAGCATTTTAGCGGGCATAGACGTTTGAAAAAGGAGATTTCCTTACGTGCATAATATACAAACGCGGCAATATCGGTCGCATGGCTCGAGTTGATTGCGTCCAAATAATATAGGCAGTTAAGAAGTATCAGGTTGGACCGAAAGTAATTACAATTTTTCGGACGCAAAAAATTTATGGAAACAGCCATCCTATCTTTTCCATATTTTAACATGATTGAGGGTTAAGTATGAACTTCCTGGACGCCCGATTAGAACTTCCAACCTTTGCTACTTTTGAAGTTATGAGGCAAATACGCTGCGCGTCGTAATTTTCGCTCATTTTAGGTTTCGTAAAAATTTTGTCCGTCCATAAGGCCACAGTTACGTGAATAATTAATCGCAAATAGAGCAGCAGTAATACTATACAATGTATCGAACAAAATAAATAGGTGGTCTCATACATTTTTCCTGATCGATTTAGAAAGATGTCAAATTGGGATTTCGGGCCCCAAAATGACAAATCCCTTCGTCGGCCGTTTTCTCCGAATTTAGTGGCTAATTTTTTTGAGAATTTTTATTGATATGTAGCTTAGTTATCACTGTTTCAAACGCGTATATTGACTAGGGACAAATTTTTTATACCGAGCTGCAGAAGAGATCAACCCCTGATTTTCCAAAACAATTTTGTTTCGGTATTCTCAGAGTGAACAAATGGGTTTGGGGCATTGATAACTTCAGTACCTTATCTACTGTCGCTGCGTAATTGCGGTGCCATGACGAAAAAATTTGATCGGCAAGGACTAAAGAATAATAAGCAAAATTTAATGACGATGCCAGATCCCGTGTCGGTTACTCGGCGTTACAATACGTTGCAAAATTTTTCCCGTGAAAGCAGGGCGGTTTGATAAATAAATATTGTTTACACGGTGTTCCCAACTAAATGTTTTCCAAAATAGGTGGAGCGCTTTTACATTAGCTGTCGTAATTGGATCGTTAAGTCCCCATTTCATCAGCCTCATCCCGAATCGGGATTTTGTTCCATACTATAGACAATAACGACGGGCTCTACAGTTGTTTGGTGAATTAGGCACCATAGCTAGAAAGGTATGATAATGGCGTTATAAACCGCCAATTATTCTGGCAGGATTCTGACCTTAGAAATTTTCATAAGGCTCGATGGGCAGAGGGCTCGCGGATGTCGCCGCGTCGGGTCTACCAGTGTTTCAAGGAGAACCGGTCATAGAAAAATAAATAATGGCAAGATTGACTAAATATTTTTATGTGCTATAGTAGCAACTTAGACTGAACTATCGGTGTAAAAATTCCGGCGGCCGGGTGGTAAATGTTTTTACAAAACCGGCTTGAAGATCGATTGTAAAGACTTTCGGTCCAGCCTGATATACAAATGGAACGAGTATCAGCGCAAATTGCTTATACCAATAGATACTATTCGACCAGGCAGTGGCGACATCGAGGTTCGGGGCCATTCAGGAGTTGTGCAGAGGGTTTCAATTGAATTTGGTAGACTTCAGGTTTCGAAACACCTGCTGTCACGCATTCTGTAGAAAAATAGCAGAAAAATATATTGAACGCGATGTTCCAGGGGAGACCACGTGAAATCCACCTGTCCGAGGTAAACTTAAGCTGTAATAACTGTATTGCGTTTTTGACGTTTTTTGGTGTCGTGAAAGCTTTTCTCATAATTATCGTCTCTCTATTTTTTTGCTCATCTCTATCATTTAAATTTTAAAATATTCATCGTGAATCGGCTTGAAAACCAATGGAATGGCAATGGTTATCAGCAACAAAGATATGCAATACCAAAGATGCTCGTATTTTTCGAATAAAACATCGCCCAGAATGTCGTCGTATCGTCCGTGGATTTCCATCAGCTAGAGATAAAACTTTGTAACCGAAAAATGACGGATTACCGCGTATATCGGATAGGCCAACGAGAAAAGCCTCCTCCGATTCCGCAGCGATATCACCGTAAGGCACATCGTCATAAAGTACAGAATCATTTCAGCAAAAATCATGATAATTGAACTGACGAGCAGGACAGTTGGAAGTAGCGTTCTTTGCTTATTCAGTGGACTATTCTTAAAATTCAAGATTCTTTGAAACTCAAACTTATTGTATAGATCGACAAAGCTCTTGATTCCCTCATACACCTCCGAACATTTTGCAATCGAATATAGGAGGCTTAGAATGATGAAAATAGGCTTCCAAATGGATTTTGGGAGGTATTGATAGAGCATTAAAAGGTAGAAAGCTGGCTGGGCGCAAGGGTGGAATTTATCGGCATATTACTGCCGGGGTTATAAGCGTCCATTTAGAGAGGCGGTGATAACAAAGATCGGCTATTTCACGGCATCATCCGATAAACACCGGCTTTCGCATGGATCGAAGATAATCGATTCCGATTCCGCAATGATAGCATTGTAAGGAATATTGTCATCATAAATAAAACAATCTCCGCGACAATCATCAAAACTGCTCCGGCAAGCAGCGCTGTAGGCAAAACCTTTCGTTGCATGTTTGGCGGACTAAAGGTCATCACATTGTTAGTCTGAAAACTGTATTTTCCATACCTTTTATACAGGTCAATGAGGCTGTTGGTTCCAAAATACACTTCATAGAACCTTCCGGCTGAATATAACAAGCTTAGACCCATGAAAATCAAGCGCCAAATCGATTTTGGCAAATGGAGCATGGGCATTGGGAGGGAAAGAGAAGGGTAATGTCTGATCGGCTCACGATTTATCGGCCCATTATAAGCTTCTCCTTTGAAGCGAGAAGATAACAGGCAGTTTTGTTTTGTGGCGTGTGAATATTTGGAATCGGGATCAAAAGAACAATTCACCGGAAATGGAGGCTGAGCCGGGTCTGACATTTTGACAGAGGCCTTATGTGGTTACAATATCATCGTCCCTACTATCCAAAACAAAATCCTCGTGCTCGATAAATTATTTGTTAAAAGATTTCATAGATATCTTCGATATTCCAGCTTTCCATTTAGCGACCCACCCCCGTAAAAACACGACGAATGGCCGTCTATGGAAGGGATCGATGGAAGACCAAGATACAATCTTGTGATAAAGTTACAGCCTCGTTCTCGTCTGCCATTTTTAAGCAACAATTTTTATGGTTTTACAACCAACCATCAAATTCCCAATCCAAACGCCCCGACACCGGTCTCATCATTATGCAAATCTCTGTCGCGTGGGTTCAGTGAATGGGGGCGATTCTGTTTCTTGCCTGTTTCAGCACTTGTTCCAGAAATCATAGCATTCCAATTTTGGTCTACCTATCAACCAATGCAACCCAAACTCGTAACGTACGCAGAAAGGCATGACGATCCGAAATCGTTTTCGCAAGAGGTACTTTAAGTAAGTGGTACCTACGAGGTTCCAGGTCCGTGCCCTAAAAGACCTGCGTTATTTCGAAGAGGACGCCGCGATAGAGCTCGATTTAGAATGCAGGGATGTAGAAGAAATTATAAGCACGTTAGTGGCTGAAATGCTTTCGGTATACCGGCAAATTCAGGCTGTTCGACTCGATATTCGCGCAAAAGCCACAGGTTGGGATTGAGAAGGGCGAATTTATGGCCCGGATCTTTGCCGATGTAACCGCAGAACCAAACAAGCTATACGGTCTGGGCTCTTACTGCGTTTTTGACCCGTTTTCCCAGGTAGAACGATCCGGAATAGAATTCAAGCAGTCGGACCGAATGGAACGGATGAGCGATGGGCTGTTCTTTTGTGAGAATTCTTTAATCACCCATTTACCTCTGATTTAGTTGTGATTTACCGTCATTACGCCGGACCCGCATGGCAATCACCAGACTCAAAACCCCGGTTCCACTCGGCAACTTTCTGGAGGAGTGCCAAATTCTGGTCGTGATCATCACCCCAACGCATGAGGTATCAAAAATCGATCATATTATCGGTTATCATCAATTTATTTTTAGAAAGGTACGAAATCTGCCGCCGAGGTGGCTAGGACCTACGCAACGCTACTGGCTTGCGATGGGATTCTGGACCAACTATTGGATGCTGCGGATGAATTAGCAATAAAGGTAAGTCTAACTCGCCTAATGCCATCTCCACTCGTTCTTAGGCAATTTTTGATACCTCGGCTAAGCTGTTGAAAGAAAATATAGTGATCCAAGTCCATGAAGAGTGTAATGAAAAGGACGAGAACGTACGTAAAGGCTATTTTTACCAACAGCAAATTTTTCGAGGATAATTCATGGAAACCATTTTCCGGCATTATTGCTGATACAAGACGTAGAGCCAAGCATTATGCATCGGATTTTACCGATGGTAAGCGGTCATCACTGCCAATTCATAATTTTTCCAGGGTTCGCCGATAGTCGCAGCATTTTGAAAGTAATCAGCACCGCCGTTTTCTTAATTTTTACCATCCTCCCAACTTCAATTGCTTATGGAATGCTGAATGATGAAAATACGAAAGGAAAAATTAGTACATTTTTCTTTGAGGTACTTACCAAAAGTTTTTAGACGTCCAGAAAGTGATCTTGGGCCAATGGATTGGCGGGATATTCTTTGGTCTTGTCGGAGGGCAAGAAATGTTGATCCACTCTACGACCGCACCATTAAGCATTTATATCCAAGGTATCGACCACGTCCAATACTTCCTACAACGAATTCAGTGATCTACCACATCTCCGAGCAGAACAACCTCGATTTCTATGCCCTATATGCATGGGTGGGGGTGTGGGCGCAGATATTTTTGGCCCTATTCGCCATTTTTAACCTGGCAAATCTGATGAAATTCACGAAACGGTCGACCGAAGAGATTTTTGGGCTCTTCATAGCCTCGGCTCTCTGTTATAAAGCTTTGGCCGCCATCTTTAAAAGTAAATAACTTCTAAAAAAACCTAAATAAATGGAAAAATTTAGCTTACTCTGTTAGTTACACTAATTGCGTTGCTGATATGAATTCTACAAGTGTTTTTATGAAAGGTAGGTCTAAATCTGAAAAAAGCAATAATTTTTAGATGGTTGTGCTCCCGGAAGTGCCCTTCTTTTCGCCTTATTGGTATTCGGAACTCTTTGGCTAGCTCTTACTTTTGATGCAGCAAGAAAAGGACACTTTTTAACAACGTAGCTATGATAATAATTTAATGCTAATTGCTGATTGTTTTGTAGCTTTATCCGCGGCCTAATTTCTGATTATGCTCTCCCAATCGCTGTGGTTATCATGGCTGTCCTGGCAAAGATCTTCTTCAGCAATGTCGATAGTAAGGTCACGTTCTTTCTTGTAAGGTTTTTTGTAGCGGAAAGCTTCAGCGTCTACGATAAAGCTGATATCCATTGGGCCGGACCGGAAAATCTACCATTTTGGGCTCAGGTATAAGCGGTGTAGAGAGACCATAAAAACGCGAATTTAGGGACTCGCAATCGGGCTCGGTTTTCCTCTATCGCTACTTTTTTTTATGGACCAGCTTTTGGTGACAAATACCGTGGATAACAAGCAGAACAAGTCAATTAAAATAATTACCATTTTTCGTACGGTTTAAGACTTGAAAAAGGGTCAAGCATGCATTGGGATTTGCTTGTCGTTAGCTTTCTGAATATATTCTTATCCCTCCTTTCACTACCGTGGATGCATGGAGCCCTACCATCTGCCTATCTTCATTTAAAGGTAGTTCAGTTGTTCAGCTTCTTTAAATCGGGGGTTTTTAGGCCTTGGCCGACGTGGAGCATCGCGTACACAATGGGGTCATGGGCGAAGTGTAAGCTTTGCAGAAAATCGCGGGTTATTCGATTTTTAGGATTACCAAAGTCAGAGAAACTCGTCTGGCCGTTCTATTAGCGCATATTCTGATGATCCCCATATATTTCTGGCTAATTCCATACTTTACAGCTTTTATCCCAACTTCATTATTTCATGGTAAGTAGAAACTGCGCTCGCATGGGGAAATTCGATCGATTTTAGGACTTTTCCTCTTCATGGCCATCAGCTCGTTGACGGGTAATGAAATGTGGCAGAGAATTATGCTCCTTTTTACTGAACAGGTTTCAAAAATCGCAATTTTAAGTGCCCATGTCTTTTCTAGCGCTCTTACCCGGCCACCAGTTACTTGAGAAAGGTCTCACAAAGAAAAGTCCACGCCTTCACCATTATTGAAGTATTTTTGAACTTTTCTAAAGTCTGGATAATACATTTTAGATTCTACAATTAGCCACGCTATTGGCAGTCGGTTTTTATCCTTGGCATTTTGTGGAAATGGTATTTCCGGTTGTCATTGCGTTATTTATACCTTTCCGGTGAGTACGCTTGGATTACCTTCGAATTATGCGCGATTTTAGGCATTTCATACTCCCGCTAATGTTTTCTGACGATGAACTGGAAGCATTGGATAGCGAACATTAGAAAAGTAAATTAATAAACCGTCAAAAAATTGTAAATTTGTTAAAATACATCCATCAAAACATTTTTAAACGAAAATGGGAGCAAATTGCGCAGCCGGTTTACTATGCACGTGAAAACCACTAGGATTCTCGCATTTTCTGAATATAATAAGTTTTATCAAATTTAAATAATAATATCTTATGCATAATGTATATACCTTTAAGACCTAACTTTTTGGAAGTAGTGGCGCTCCCTAACAGTGTTGGACAGCACCCCAAAGAGAGCACCCCGGGGTGCTTTTTCACCCCGGGGTGCTCTAAGAAGCACCCCGGCGGAGAGAGCGGTGCTCTGGCAAGTATACATGGGTCGACGCTTGCATGCGCCGCATAAGCGCGGCCGGCCACGCTCTTCCGGAGCGTGGAGAGCCACGCTGGCGCGCGCGCCTCTTAATAAACCACGCCGAAATGAGCGTGGCCCGCCACGCTCCGGAAACGCTTATGCAAAGCTTCTAAAAATGCAAAATCAAAGTTTTCCAAGGGACATCTAACAAGGGAACCTCAAGTTGGCACGGTGGAGTTTCGAAAAACGCTCGCGGCTACCCCTAGGTTTTCCACTATGGCGATCTCAACGGTCGAGTCAGAATTTCCTAAATAGCCCTCTGGACAGAGATACAGCACTTCCGGAAATTCATCTTTTACATCCGAAAAATTAGCATAACCGATAGGTTTATGATGCTCTCCCATCACTATGGAATCACCAGTTGAGTGGCCGAGTGGTAAGCGACTTGCTTGATAGGATACTGACGAGGGTTCGAACCCGCTCACGATTTTTTTAATTTTGCTTTTTGACCGGAGCTTTCTGCCCAGCTCCAAGTTTTCATTTTTAATATAGTAAAACTTTTTGATTATTGCACCAGCCTTTTGTTTATTGCTCCAAAGTAGTCTCAAAATTCGAAAAATTTTTATGGAACGGCTCGGTGTTCTCATCTCCGTTTTTTAGAAAAGGGTTTCTATTGGACCGAATGACCGAGTTTGCGATTTCTGTTTTTTCTCCTACATTGTAGATAATTTTGAAATTTAGGCCGAGGACGAATTTTCGAAAAAAAATGAAAGCTTGGAGTTGGGCAGAAAATTCTGAACAAAAATCAAAAGAAAAAATTGCGAGCGGGTTCGAACCCTCGTCAGTATCCTATCAAGCAAGTCGCTTACCACTCGGCCACTCAACTGGTGATTCCATAGTGATGGGAGAGCATCATAAACCTATCGGTTATGCTAATTGTTCGGATGTATAAGATGAATTTCCGGAAGTGCTGTATCTCTGTCCAGAGGGCTATTTAGGAAATTCTGACTCGACCGTTGAGATCGCCATAGTGGAAAACCTAGGGGTAGCCGCGAGCGTTTTTCGAAACTCCACCGTGCCAACTTGAGGTTCCCTTGTAAGCAAAAATCGATCCGTTTTCGAGAATTTAACTAACAAGAAGTTGAATCACGATCTATCTTGTTTATTTATCAAAATTTAAAGATGACCCTGATAGTTATGTATCGGCAATTCATTTTTGCAAATCGAATCATAAATATATATCCTTTAAATTTTTGATTTGCATCTGGAGTTAAATCGCGCGCGTGAAAAAGCACGCGTAAAGCGCCGCATAAGCGTGGTGCTCCACGCTCCGTAAGAGCGTGGCCAGCCACGCTTATGCGGCGCATGCAAGCGTCGACCCATGTATACTGGAAAGCACCCCGCCCCCCAGTGGGGTGCTCCAGAAAGCACCCCAGCCGCCCTTGGGGTGCCCCAGAAAGGCACCCCAGGGGTGCCTTTTGGGGTGCTTTCTGGGGTGCTTTTGGGATAACTGACTTCTGAACTAGACTATATAGGACGGTCAAAATGCGAACCTTTTAGGGTTTGAAAGGTGGATAATTACTGGATTATACGTTTGATATTACCTGATATGTAATCATTGAGTATAAAAATAAAACAATCTTCGGAATAACTTCAAAATAAGAACCTAATTGCAGAGCAACGTCATTTGAGTGGGTTTTTTCCGCTGATTGCCTATTTTTCATTTTTTGTTACGTTTTGCAGTTGCTTTATGCTTGTTCGGCATAACTTTTTATAATGTTGTTCCAGAAACGAAATGCACAACTTTGTCGTGGACATCGGGAAGTGAAGGTATCTGCTGACCTGATTATTTTATTTGCCATAAGGACGACGAGCAGAGGGGCCGGGTTCAAAGTGATGCCTTTGGCACCCAGAGTCATACACCGCTGTCGTGGAAAATGGTGCTTAAGTTAGAGGAGGGGTGGGGTCAGGAACCCCTGAGGCTATAAATAGATTGCGGCAACCCGGAGCGGCATTTACTGATTACTATCGGCATGCAATTGCTTTAGTTAACTCTCCTTTTTTCTGACGCCCCGAATTGAATTTAAACTGCCCTCTCGCCCGTTTATCTCTTTTGTTCTTTTCCAAATTGGCAAGGGTCTATGAGGCTCATCAGGGAGGATAACGCTACGAAACTTTTGATAATTTGGACATATTATCTTCAAATTAAACGTCCGGGTCTTCGGACCACCGAAATCCTCCTGGTTAAAAAAGTCGCTTTAAGCACGCCCTGATAAGTCTGATTGACCTATACCTGTTCCTTGATCAATATCAATACATCTCAATTTCAGCTAAGTCTCCAACCCGCACAACAGAAGCCCGACTCTTTTGCTGAACGATACGATGGGAACCGTGGCCACGATAGCCAGTGTGATAAGCTTGCTGCCTTCGGCTTATGAGTATAAGTCTTCTCAGGCACCTCGATTTGGGCTTGATCAAAATAGCATCATATGCTTTGTTCGATAGTATGACGGGCCATTAATGCGCTTGTTTGTCGTAGAAAATTCACCTGCAAAACCCCCAGAGAGGACAGAAACCTCTCGTAGATACGCATAGCAATGGCCAAAATTAGAAAATGACTAGCCTCTAGCCGTGACGGGCACTGTTAGCTTAATTTTCGGGCATATTCTAGCTGTTTGGGCTATTCAGGGTTGTCCAATTATGGCTCTCGGGGTAGTTTAAGTTTTTATAGTCCTGGAATACCCTGAATTAAGCCTTCCAAGATCCGAACCGAGCTCTCTTACCTTGAGGCCCTTGAAATTCTAAATATCAACATTACTGAAAACCTGTATTATTATGGGGCTGTATATTCGGTAGGTTCCTAAACGCGTTTTAAGGGTGTGTATTTATGAGGGTATCTATTAAAAGTAGGGTTTTTTTAGTACCCTGACAGGGACGGGGGCGAGATCTGCAACTGGAACCTCATCCTCGGAACCGTTATCGCATTAATTTTCTTTTCGTTTGTATAATTCCACTTGCACCACCGGAATTAAACTGTAACTTATTTGTTATCTGTCTCTAGTCATTTTCTGCTTCTAAACACTGGTCTTGTCGTTAAATTTAGATATATCTAAAACTCGCTCTACAGCATCAATAGCAAATCAACGCGCCGACTCCAGCTCCAATTATTCATGCTCTTATTCGCACAGGCGCTATCTCCACTACTTTTCGAGTTGATCCCGGCATTTGTATTAGTTTTTGGAGGTGTAATCGGTATAGAATGTCCCTATAACCCTGAGAACCCTAAAAAAAATTAGGTTTCCCTCACAACTGGGGTCTATGCATCCCCATCGTCATGGCCGGGTATTCGAGTTGCGATGCCATTTTAGTATTGATACTTTTCAAGGTAAACTTCTTATCCAGCGTTGCTTAGTACGTTTCAGGCCTATCGACAGCGGGTGGTAGCGATTTTGAAAATGGACATCTGGCTGGATCGCAGCCGCATCTTCCGCACGGCCGACACCAATGAGAGAGAGCCGCACCGGTCGACGAAACACATCGAAAAGGGAGCTAGTGAATAAAAATTTTGTAAAATTCATGGAATTCGTGGATAACCAACTAAAAAACAAATCCCAACACAGCAGTAAGCTGCGCTAAAATCTACCATACGGTTTTGGTGCAGCGCTAGATCACGGATTGAGCTTTCAGTACCACGGTTGCTAGATTTCCTTTCATTTTTCATTTATTTTCATATTTATCATTAGTTTCCATCATCATAGGATGCTGTGCACACTTGAATATCACGACTCGGCTAGCTCACTAGCTGCCGTTCTCGGCGTTGTCACCAACCTATTTCTATTGTTTGTGATCTTTACTGTAACCCGACCCGAGATGAGGGGATTCCGGACGATGCAGACCATTATTTCGCTTTATAATCTTTACTATTCCATAGCGCTACGCATCGCCCATCCGGTCAGGATTGACGCGTACTTTACTTTTTTTTTTTGACTATTCGCCCAGTCGTTAGTTCGTAACCTTTTAGGCCTACCTCATCGACGAGCGGGGCTGGATTCTCAAAGCCATGCACTGATTCCTACTTTTGGTCATTTTTCGGGCTCGCGCTTCGTGACTAGCTATGCTCAATCACCAACACTTTTGATGATTCACTGCTTATACCGTTGGATTAAGGTTACAGGGTATTTTCGTTGAACCTTGGGATTCGACATTTATAGGATTTTAAAATTTATGATCAACACGGTGACCGGGATAACATGCATAATCCTTGCGCATTTTCTGATTCTCGGCGCTATCGAGGCCTGTCCGATTGTGGCGTTAGGGATTTCATAGGTAACGATTTTATTGCCAGTTTTATTCCAATTAACTTTATTTTATTGTTAAATATGTTGCTTCCTGGGTATAATGCACAGGCATTTTGAGCAATATACGTGCGGCGCAGACTGAATTGCTTTTTGGGATATTTTATTGAATGGACCACTTACTTTCTCCCCGAAAAAAGTCGCGCTTAGGCTTTCGGCTAGGTAATGGGCGTTTCTTTATTTTTTTTTGTGCACTCTTCTTTATTTTGGCTGGACGTGTTCAAATCTTCATGAGTGTTTTCGTAGTCACCAGTACCAGCACCGTCACCTCTGAAAAGCATCAATCACAAAATTATCAAAAGCTCTCGCTAAAGGGACGGACAAGGCTTAACTTTGCGTGGCCAGCGCTTGGCCGCCTTCAGGAGTTTTATAAGCTTTTCCTCTATAGCTCCAAGTCACGCCTAGTAATCTAATCGGACATTTTTTCAAAGCGTTTTTCCGGAACTTTGGCTATTTCTGAACCAGAAAACCTGACTAAAAACGTAGCAGATATTCTAATTTTTTATTTAAAGACGAGAACAGAGAATTTTTCGGTGGAAAAAGCTTTTCTTCATTACGCTTTAGGTCTTTCCGATATACAGTAGCGGTCAAAAGATGTCCCCTCCGGGAAATCGTTTGGTGTTCAAAAACCACAGGCCCACATTTTATGAAACTTTGCCTCTAGGTCAATTTTAATACGGAGAATCCGATGGTGACCACGAAGTTGGCTGCAAATTTTATTTTAGTCGTCAAATTTGAATTTTTAAAGAAATCGGTAAAATAAACTTTTTCCTGAGGGATTTTCGGGTTTCAAAAATGTGTCCATCGTGCTCGCAAGAGTCGAAAACCTATCTCGAACATTTTTTAAGACATGTATCTCTTTGAGGCTCGCTGCTATGAGGCCGAGAAGTTGTCGCCGCGGGGCGATTTCCTGGCCCCCGTAAGCCTATCCAAGGGAGTTTGGCCCGCGCGACAGCAACTTTCGGCCGTTAGTATGGTCAAGCCCAGGCAGCAAAAACGTCGTAAAATAACGGACTAGTGGTTTTCGACCCTTGCGACCACGATGGACACATTTTTGAAGCTCGAAAATCCCTCATGAAAAAGTTTATTTCACAGAATTTTTTAAGATCGAAGTTTGACCATCAAAATCAAATTTTCAGTAGATTTCAATGCTGCCATCGGATTTCCCGCAGCCGAATTTACCTAGACACGAAGTTGCATGAAATTTGGGCCTGTGGTTTTCAAACACCAAACGAACCCCCGAGGGGACATCTTTTTGACCGCTACTGTAGGGTCTATTGGCTTAATTTGATGGTTTCCGATTTTGGCAGTGTCTGCATTATAAAAATCAAAATTGAAACGAATTCCGGACCGAAATTTAGAGATTTATTTCAAGTTAAGATTTAAAATTGAAACGTTAATACACTTTAACCAATTTAAATTCTGAATTTGAAAATTTAAAGTTATCAGAGGGTATCCAAGCGGAACACTTACGTTTTCGTCGAACCGTTTTCGCCGAAAATCGTTTTGGTGTCCTCTCGAACGGGTCCGTTTCGCATGCGTCGAGGATCGTTTTTGTTAGTCTTGTGCCGATTTTGGACATCTGAAACCGTACGGCCGTATTTTAACGAAATATAAACTATTTTATAAAATTTTCGGTGATTTCGCATTATCGGGGGTTAGCCGGAGAGGGGGAACAATTTTTTTTGTTTCAATCTAGAACTGCCTAGTTAATAGGAAGTATTTTCATAAAGTTTTTGGTAAAACAAAACCATATTTTAAATCGAAACACTCTTTGAGCGTTGGAATATCGTTCAAAAAGCCAACATTTTGGCAAAAAAGCGACCATTTTTGGTCGAAAACTCGATATTTTTTATATTGTTTCATAAAAATTTGTAAAGTTTTTGCGTTCAGGCTCAGTAAAAAATAATTTATAGACACGTTCGCTTATATGTGAAAAATTTCGCTCCCTCCCCCGATAATGCGAACGAACGGTTTAGAGATATCTGCGAATTTCTGGCAACTAGCTACGCTGCGCTACGTTTGCATCTTTCTACAGTAGTCAGCTCAAGATTCAAAGTTAAAAGATATCAGCTGTCATCCAAAAGGAATTCTTACGTTGTTTCCGAATAGCATCGTTCATGCGTCTTCGACTATGCTGTCTGCAGCAAAATAATTCTTGCATTTTATAACATTTTCTTCAATATTTCCTCGCTGATAAGTTGTGCCACTTCCGGTCCTTGCAGGAGCTGCAGTATTCGTCCGCATTCAAAAAATTTTTGCAGACATCTCTTCCGTGACTTCGCACAATAGGCTCATCATCGTTTTGGTTGTTGTCGATCCAGTTTTCGATACCTGAAACCATCGACTACGACATATTGGGCTGTAAGCGGGGGGGGACACCAATTTTTCTCTCGCAACCAATTTCGGCGCAATCTCCCAATATCCAATCTAAAGCATTTTTTGCAGATTTTATTAAAGTATTTTATATAACTCTTATCCATATAAAACTGTACGGTTCTTTAGGATTCCCGGGGAAAGTATTCCCGGGGGGGAAACTAATTTTTTCCTGGTGTTCCCGAGTGACCTAGTAATCAAATATAAAGTGTTTTCCAATTGTTTTTAGTAAGTTTTAACTGTAATTAAAGCAGAATAACTTTCAGAAAAATTTAGAAAAATGTTTGAAAAAGTCGAAAATTTGGTCATTTTGGGTCTTTCCCCCCCCCGCGAATCCTAAAGGTTCTATAGGATTGTTCGACCTAATTTTTATTTTTATTATTTTTTTTGGTTAAAATGTGTGTAGTTTTTATGCTCAGGAATAGTTAAGATCAATTTAGAAACGCATCCGTAATTTATAAAAAAATCTAGGCTTGTGCCGAAAAAAATTTGGTTTCCCCCGGGAATACTTCCCCGCGAATCCTAAAGAACCAACTGTACATATAAACTATAAAATGTGTTAACTATTTTTTTTATCAATAAAAACTACACTAAAATTTTTCGGTTCGTAGGGTTTTCAACTTCCAAAAATTGACCAAAAAGACTGCAGCTTTTCAAATTAAAACTTTTTAGCCTAACTTGCAGTGTCGTGGTGTGCTAAAATTTAACGATATTCAAACAGAAAAAAATTTGGCCAAAACATAGCAGAAAATTTGAGGTTTTGTTCGTTTTTGGTGGAAAATATCTTTTTTTTTTTGGATTTTTATGGGTGATTGGAAATTTCTATTTTTACAAACGTAAAAGTAAGAAATTTCGTGCCCGAATTTGTAAAAGAAATCGCGGTATTTCTCACGGTAGCTAAAAGTTACCTTTCGCAGAAGCCCGTGAGGCCTAGACAGAGTTTCCGACACCTCAGTTCGGCAGCCAGGGCATGTTCGTTTAGCTGGATCAACGGCAGTTGCATTTTGATGAGCATTTTCCATAAATCGTCCATTGTTGCGCAGCGGATGTTGCCCAGTTGTGTGATTCCAGGGCACAGCAGAGGGCTGCTCGTGTTTGTTGTATGTCGCAATTGGTCGAGAATGTTATCTGAAATATCCGGTCAAATAAAGTGATAGAGAATAGCTAGATGACTATAATTCAATTCTATAACTATTCTATAATTATTAAAATTGGCCACAGGATTCTTGAGAACCGAAGCATTACGACATGCAATTTCTCGCCCCTCCAAAGTGTCGACTTTGCACCAAACTTTTTGCTTCGTTTCGCGCGTTTTTGCAGAGAAATCTGTTTATTTGTGAATTTAGACATTTATCCTTTAGTTTTTTTGATTAATAAAGGAAACAAACATGTGAATTTTGAATTACCTGCTGTTGAAAAATTACCTGTTCAAAAATAAGGCAGTCCGTTCCGTTCATCGTGGACCAACAAGTACCGTGACCGCACGGGTCCAAGTGGCAACATATCGCTGCTCGTGCTTGTTGTATGCCGAATTTAATTGATAATATCAGCTGAAATATCCGGTAAAATCAGTGATAGACAAAAATCTTTATAGCCAGACTATAGCTTTGATTAGATATAACGTTTTCCGAGTTCTAGAACTAAAGTAGCTATGAAATTCTTTTATTCTTGACCCACTACAGCCGCAACACGACCTGCTCCAGTACGTTTTTCGGCGTGAAAACGCGTTAATTTTCAAATTCTGACACCATTTCTGGAATCCACGAGCAATTTTCATCATTCTAAATGTCTTAATTATTAAAATTGGCCACCGGATTCTTCACAGCCGAAGAATTTACTGCCCTGGAGAGCATTACGACATGCAATTTCACGCCCCTCCAAAGTGTCGACTTTGCTCAAAACATTTCGCTTTTATCGCCTATTTCGCACGGTTTTGCAAAGAAATAGTTTTTATGTGATTTTAGGCATTCGCCCTTTAGCTTTTTTTATCAATAGAAGGCTCCAAAACATGTGAATTTTTTGGGTCACCTGCCCCTTGAAAAATTACTTACTTGTTTAAAAATATGGTAACGGAAGCCGTTCAACGTGGTCCAACAACCAGCGTATCGTGCCAGCTCCAAGTTGCAGCATACACTCAGTAAAATAACTATAAAGGCAGTGGTTTTCGTCGAATATCTCGGCTATTTTTGCACTTATCGAGATGCAATTTTTTGAATAGGCTTCTGAAAAGTCACTTGATATCCTGTACAAATCCGAATCAAATCCGTTCGTGCAAAGTCCGATTTTTGGCAAATGACGTTTTTGAAACTGTAAAAAAACTATAAAGGCAGTCGAAAGAAATTCATTCAAAAATTCCCAAATTATTTTCTTTGCAAATTTACAATACAATCATGGTTGCTAGAACGTTTTCTATTAAAAATTGTTTTCTAGCATTAATGGTTGCCCATGTTTTGTGATTCGACCCGTCATGGCCAGGCCAGCTGATGCCTCCCATCTTGTAACGTTCTCTAAAAAAATTCCTTCGTCGGAGCACTATTCTGGCCGCGTCCTTAGCTTGGTTTGGGGTTCTAGTATTGTCGGCCAATTGGAAACGCAATTTGAAACGTCAAGAAAGCGGAGGCAATTCTATAATGTAATCTCTCACAGGTGCGGAAGCGACGAGAAGTTGCTTCAAACCACAGCTGAATCCTAATTTTCGTGCAGAGTGACTTAGGCGGCCTGACCACGGCTTATCCGTGCACGTGTGCAGCTGAACAAAATGTTTCTAGGTTAGCATCTCCTCGGAGAAAAAAATTAGACATCCAAGGCTTTCCAGCTTGCATCTGGGATTTTGAGGGCGTTCCACGGATCCACCGATCGGCCGAACCTTCGGTCCTAGTTACGATTTAATCGTGGTTTACGTGTTTTTTAATCTTGACATGGCTTTTGTTTAGGCCGGAAGCATGGCGATAAAACTTAAGCTTAATCCGAGCAGTCGCTGATGCGACCCCCGATAATGTTGGGTTTCAAGCGCCTTGGACGTTAATTTTCGCCACCACCAAGTGTTTTAAAGTGCAAATATAGTAGCAGTCAAGCATAGAGCATCATATAATTTCCTTAAAAACAAAAATATAGTCCGCTTCTTGAAGCCGTTGCAAAATTAAGCCTCGAGTTCGAATTTCGCCGTCACAAATATCATTACATATTTGTCCACGCGAGCGCCTGGGCTGCTTTCGGTGCCGTTTCCAATTGGCCCACAATACTAGAACCCCAAACTAAGCTAAGCACGCGGTCAGAATAGTGCTCCGACGAAGGAAATTTTTTTAGAGAACGTTACAAGATGGGAAGCATCAGCTGGTCGGGCCATGGCGGGTCGAATCACAAAAATGGGCAACCATTAATATCTCGCTTAAAAGCTTTCACTCAATTTTCTGCGAAACTTCAGACGCCTGTATCTTCGCGTACGTCAATTTTTGGGTGTTTTGAGCGGCGTCTCGTGATAGAGCATCCCAAGATCTACCAAACCATATATCAAACTTTCAAATCGGACGTTCCTGCGGGTTTTACCAGCGATTCCAAGATTTTGTGCCATTACTTTCTTTCCAACCTGATAGTTATTTTACTGAGTGTACTAAATTCCTGGTGGCTTCGCCGACAAATATCAACTGAAATATCCTGGTATCAGGTAAAATAGAGCAGAATCTGTTGAAAAGACAACGAACTTTTCAATTTTCACAATTTTCAATCGGAATCAACGAACGCCATCTGATGTAGGCGCCATTTTTTTAGGAGAAATCACCCGCAGCCGCGCGGGTTACCGCCTTAAAAATTGTTTTGTTAATGAGAGAATATAATAGTCTTCGGAATCGATGAAAAAATGCCAAGACCAACGAAGCCTTTAAAACGCTGAAAACCCGAAAAAAAAACGTAAGAATTTCGGATCCTGAAGACAGATACGGAATAAAGCAGCGTTAAAAATCAAAGCGAAAACTTCTCTGGTATTTTATAGGAGGCGTGTCAGTGGCATTGTCTCCCTCTCCCTTCTCTCCACGACTTTCTTAGTTTGCACAGAAACATTCGGCCGCATAGCTAGAGGGAGGGCCGGGGCGAAAGCCGCAAAAAATGGCCAGCCGCCGTCCGAACACTTTTTGCACATCACGCGATGTTGCGAACGGCCCCGGCACCGGAGAGAGGGGAAAAAAGTAAGAGAAACCGAACGGCTGAAAGGGTCAATGTTCACTCATTTCCCGACGGGTTTCAAATGAGTCGCAAAAAAAATTTTAGAAAAATTTTAAGGGTGTGTTGATTTGCATGAATGAACTTCCGTCAACGTGCCCGGAGGATATCTCGATAGGGGATGTGAGGAGAGTTTTAGGGTATCTATGATACGTCATTTGGTGCGTAATGGCCTGGAGCTGACTGCACACTTATTGGAATCCGAGAAATACGCTATTTTCGATATTAAAATTTGGTTTTTGTAAAATTTTCAGCATCAGCCGGAAGTAGACGACGCCGATATAAAGGGCTAGCAGCATAATTTTTAGTTTCTTGACAGTTTATTGGGGCAGAATTATGCAAAGTTTACAATTTCATAGGACACAGACAAGGCCAGAGTTGAAAAGAGGAGAAGAGAAAGCCAAGGTTTGGCCATGAAGTATAACCATAATGTGATCATCATTTTCGGTGTTTTGAGCTTTTTCGCCGAGATTTCATTAGTGTTATTGGATAGAGCGTCGAAAATCATACTCAGAGATTGATTTCAGCCCCGTAACACCACAATTTAAAATTCTTACTTTATTAAGCTAAAAGGTTTAACTAATTAAAAATCGTTAAAAATGAGGTTTTTTGGATTGAAATTAAATCTCTTAGTATAATTTTCGACGCTCTATCCGATGGGGTTTTCAAAATAGCAGGATATTCTTTATAAATACAAAAATTGTTTCCACCCCGTTATTTGCCCCCCCCGCTAAGCAACCTTTACTGGTAAGGCCACCAGGACCCACCGCAGGACTGCCTGTTTAGCTCAGTGGGGAGTCGGCTGCCACTGAAAGCATGGGCGAGAGTTCATTCCCCGCCGGCAAAATTATTTTTTGGCTTTTTGCCAAATAACCTTGCGAACCGGATCGGAAAATATTTTTGTTGCAAACGAGCTTTATTTACCTTCTCTGATCCCTGAAATGCCATTTTGAGAAAGAAACGCCCACTTCAAAATTTTTGAAACTGTGGGGGATGGATATGTAGGCAAATCGCCAAAAAAAATTCTGAAAAATTTTATCGGGAAGCTTCACAGTCGTTTCACAAGGGAACGTTCCCAAGTGGAAGTTCGATCGAGTAATGAGAGGCCCCACGTCTACCCCAGTTTTTTACTTATGAGAACGTGAATTTGACGATGACCACTCTATTCTGGCATTTTCATGCGTCCCGCGCCGTGGCCGTTTGCGCGTTCAGAGACGCTCTACGTACCTGATTTTGTTATTGGCGCCATAACTCAATTTCCGGCACTTTGGTGTCCCTTAAAACAACAGCCAAATATTTGTATTTATTGTCGTGTAATTGTTTTGTAGAGTAGGATATGACGCATTTGAGTCGGATCGGATTTTTCATTAGCCTTCTTCTGCCGCTTCTTAGGCGAATTTAAATTTTGAATCTGCAGTTGCTACAGTTGTGCTTCGCATTGCCTCCGCCTCCCGCATAATCCACTTTATCCCACTTCGCAATCTCACTTGGTTCCCGATGGCCTTTTGCATGACCTCCTTTGTAAAACATTCAACTTTTTTTTGTTTTTCTCCCGCATTACCAGCTGCCATTCCTGAAATAATTGGTTACTTTATTGGGCTTAAGTGCAGTTTACCCCCCCAGCCCTAACTTTTCAGCCATAAGTCCTATTAATGCGCCGAGTATCTCAAAATGTTCGCCGTGGTCGAATTACTATAAAAAAGTTGTTTTCTTACATCAAAAATTGTTAGAAAAATTTTTATAACAATTATAAGTCTGGGTTTTCTTTAGTTAATTTTTGCTGTTCCAAAGTGACTTTTCGTATCTCGGCTATCTTTTGACGTACAGAGCTGTCAATAGTACCAAAATGTAGCTCTTGCTCTGGAGAATAAGCCTACAGTACGTTTGAGCCGAAAAAATAGCGGAAAATAAAAATATTTGAGTTTTAGACTCCTAGTACATCGAAGCATAGCGGCTTAATCTTTTCAACTTTCAAAATCTTGTAAAAAATTTTTAAGCAATTTTTGCCGCAAGAAAACAACTTTTTCTAGTAATTCGACCACGGCGAACATTTTGAGACACTCGGCGCATTAATAGGACGTATGGCCGAAAAGTTGCGGCTGGGGGGGGGGGGAAACTGCACTCTAACCCTTTATTGAGTCCGCGATTATTGGAAGCTCAAATCCTATTTAGCTTGGGGAGCTTGAGCTAATTGCGCGCGTGCAACTGGAGGTTCTGGACTGTTAGCGGGCGGACAAAATTTGTCCCTGTGATTCTCCAAGGCCCCATAATATAATACCAGCGCCCAAAACCCGCGTCGCGGGCCTTGGCGCTGGAATTTGGCCCTTGCATGAAAAATTGGGCATTCCGATAGCTCGGGTCCTTCGGCCCTGGCCCCGTCTGACCCCATTTATCCTTCACTTTGCATAATTGTCCTGAATTCAGGAAATTCAAATTTAGAATTCAGAAATCCTGAAAATTTTCTTTTCATCATTAAAAAAGTTTTTTATAGCCTTCTAGCAATCAAAAACTGCGAAAAACACTATAAAAATACATTATATTTACATTAACCGCTTCGCGGCTTTTCAACCCTGGCCCCGTCTAACGCACATCATAGTCAAAAATGTGCATATTTCTTCCCGAACCGATCGCAAAAAAATGAGAAGCCCCCACTGGCCCCTTATATAGGCTTTCCCCACTTCCGGCGCATGCAAATTGCCTCCTAACAAAGAGGTTTTTCGATATCTTTACAAAAAACTCAATTTTAATAGCGAAAACAGTAATTTTTCAAAACTTTGGTGTGTTTGCACTCATCTCGGCTTGATTACGCACCTAATGACGTATCATACGTACCCTATAAACATTCCCCTGAGGCCGTAGGTGGAAGACAACCTCACGGAAGTTGCATGCAAATGCACACACACAGACACTATTTTTTTATATATAGTAGGATGATCAACATGGGTGCCGGTGGAACAACAGAAAGTGGTTTTCCCCTTACTAAAAGCCACCCCCCCCCGCTAACAGTCCAGAACCAAATTGCAAAAAATGCAAATTAACCCTTTTGGAGACACAATCTTTCATATAGGCTCTCCCTCCCGGGAGGTAGCCAAACCAGCGGGACTTTGGTGTATCCTTGAAGGGGCTCCGAAATCTGGTTCACGTCCCTACTAAATTTTTGGCTGTTGAAATCTCGTTCGAAAGGTAAGGCCGCGGCTCTGAAATTGGGCACATTGCCGCAGCATGCCCCGACCTATCTCCCTATCTTCTCCCCCTCCCGTCTGTCCCATGTCCTAGTGGTCCAAAGCGCTTGCCCCAGGCGAGTGGCCCTGGTTCGATTTACCGTGACCGCCTACCGTAACCCTGTTTACTACCCCGCGGACGGTTACCGCCGGTAACCAAACCAACGAGACTTTGGTGTACCTTTAATGGGCAGCCAAAGATGGGGGATAGAATCGATGGCGATCCACAAAAACCCTCATCCAACTCATACCAGTAGCTCGCTTCGAAAAAGCGCTCTCGGCCTCACTCTTTTCGGCCTCATTGCCAAGCTTCTTTTTTTCATCGTAAAACGCGAGTGCCTCTTCGGCAAATCTCTTGATGGATGTGCCAAATGCACTCTTGGGTAGTAGTAAGGATAGGGCGTTGGCGTGCTATAATAGGAACCTTACAGTACAGGATACAATCACGTAAGCCGGACCTTTTTGAAGTGATTTATTCCAGCCTCATGGGATTCGTAGAAAATCAGCTTTTTCGTCACCTATAATTCGTTATGACGAAGCGTTTGGTTAAATGGCTTCCACCTCCAATGCGTTGGGAATTCCACCTTTTGAGAGATCGTTAGCGTGTTCAATGACGGCCTGGAATTAAACATTGTGCCCGCTCTGTTTAAATATGGTAAAGGGTGTCGCAAAAAAAAATCGGCCCGCCTCTAGCGGGTGGGTGAAGCGTCCTATTTTAAAATTGACGATAAGGTGTCTATCGAAAGTTCTCAAAAAGGCGAGAAAACAAGTACTACTCTTTTTCCGACATAGACATTTTAATTCGCGACTCTTAGGACATAAATTCATGAAGACCGCAGATTTTATGCGAAAGAATTATAGAAAAAGCTGCTTGAAGTGAAACTCTTTTCAAGATCTCTTGCTGCTGAAGAAATGGTTTTTATTATAATATACACCTGTTTTAATTCTTCTACATCTTGGAAAGTAGTACGAGCTCCCAGCACCAGCCTTAACGTTTCGTCTTCAGCCCAGCCCACATAGCCATCCGGTAGGAAACAGCCTGGGATGGATGACCCCTGACAGTGGATTTCGTTATTGACGGGGTAGGGCAGGGCGTCTTACACTTGCATCCGAGATATGACTAGCCTCATGACAACTTTCCTCCGGCAATATTTCATATGGGGGAAAAGCGAGTTGCTTATAAAAGATATAAAATGGTGCCTAAAATAGCAAAATCACTTCTGTTATAATTACATGTTATCTACCTCCTTTAGGTTCTTAGCTTCCTGGAGCGCCGTTTTTGAACTCGCCCGGTCATCTGGCACTCGACAAACACATCTAGGTTTTTCTGGTGCAAGTAGAATATACGGTATATGTCGGCTACGCGGGGGGGAAAATTTTACGCGGGGGGGACGGACTGTTGGGACCGAGCTAACTATTTTTTTGCGTTTCTTTTTGCTACAAACCAAACTCTTAGTATATTTTTCGACGCTCTGTCGAATGGCACTAAAGAAATTTTGTAAAAATGTCGAAAATGTCGAAAATTTGATTTCCTTCTATGTCCTCCATGGAAACAACGTTTAATACTTGTTTTTGTTATAACTATTTTGTATTACATTATTTTGAGCTAAAATTAAAACTCTTAGTATATTTTTGGATGCTCTATCGAATGGCATCTTTAAAATGTCGAAAAAATAGCGCAAATGTCAAAAAACAGCCGCTCAAACCGATTTTCAAAGTTTATTTTTGTGTTTGCCATAACTTTTTTATATTACACTAATTTGAGCTAAAATAAAAACTCTTAGTATATTTTTCGGTGCTCTATCGAATGCCGTTGAAAAAATTCCGAGAAAATAACGAGAACAGCCAAAAAGGCCTGCCTGTCCCGTCCCCCCCGCGTAAAATTTTCCCCCCCGCGTAGCCGACATATACCGAATATACATGGGTCGGGGCCTGGGGGCGCCGCCAAATGCCCCTCTCGAGGAGCCTTTTGCGGGCGCCTTGGGTGGGGCATTTTTCCGGTATGCAGCGATGCAAATTGCGAAAAACGCTTTTCAGATGACTTTTTGCAATTTACATCGCTGCATACCGGAAAAATGCCCCACCCACGGCGCCCGCCGGCCCCACCCAAGACGCCCCCAAAAGGCTCCTCGAGAGGGGCATTTGGCGGCGCCCCCAGGCCCCGACCCATATATAAAGTAGAATATTGACAAACTTTGCGATGAGATCGGCGATTGAATCTCGACACGTCGCTCTTTCTACCTGTCCACCGTTACAAATTCGCGACATGAGTGCGCCGGCATTGTTGATGTTATGAAAAACATTGCTGAAATTCTACGATTTGAACAACCACCTCACGTATATAAACAGCGTGGCCAGTAGATCGTGTATACAACTCAATTTAGCTAAATGGAACCATAAAAAAAGCTTAACTTTAATTCAAAGATGTTCGCTTCAATTCCCAAGCCCTTTCAATTTTTTGTTCTAACCACCATCGGCCAGCACAGGGAGTCATGCCAACAATAAATGTGAAGATTTTCGAGTTGGCTTGGGCTGGCTTGAAACTACAGCTCAAAAAAAATTGCTCGAATCGCAGAATTGCCCGGTACCATTTTTGATACGGGTTTGCTGGTTTTTTGAGCCCCCGAATACCAAAAATTTCGCCCGTTCCGTGAAGCAGGGTCAAATTAGATGTAGACTAGGTTTAGCAGGGTTCTCAAGGTTTGCTGCAAAACGAGAAACGATAAAAGATCGATGGTCAAGGGCGGAAAACCGTTTCTCGTTCAAGAGAACGAGTAGAAATCGGGTTGATTTGTTCGTAACCGTTCGCAAAAAAAAGCCAGACTTCCGAAGAATATGATGGAATTAGATGTGGAGAATCCTTCTCACCAAGAGATTGCACCCGTAAACCCCTTCGCCCAATTATCGACAATTCTCACCGTCTTTCGATACATTCCCAAAGCACAAGACCCGTGGAATAGACATCGCTGGCATAGGTATACTGAAACGGTTTTTAAAGCGCAGGTTCAGGGAGGGGCCGTGTACTCGTCCCAACGTGTACACCCTATGGACGTTGGGACCGCGCGCACTGCCTGCCCGTGCTGTGACAGGCCATTCCCCTCCTTTGCGGGGTGGGGCGCCTCTCGCCCCATCAGCAGGTTGCATCTGTGGCTGACTGGTCTGGTAAGTATTTCGGGGGAACCAAATTTTTTCCTGGTTTCCCGGTCGACCTAGTAATCAAATATAAAGTGTTTTCACATTGTTTTTAGTAAATTTTAACTATATTTAAAATAGAAAAACCTTTCAAAAAAGTTAGAAAAATGTTTGAAAAAGTCGAAAATTTAGTCATTTTGGGTCTTCCCCCGCTAATCCTAAAGGTTCTATAGAATTTTTCGACCTAAAATTAAAATTTTAATTAAAATGTGTGTATTTTTATGCTCAGGACTAGTTAAAAACCATTTAGAAACGCATGCGCTATTTAGGAAAAATTTAGGCTTGGGCCGAAAAAATTTGGTTCCCCCGGAAATCCTAAAGAACCGCATTCGACCCCCGGCCCCGGCAAAAATCCTTTTTTTTCCAAGAAAGGTCCCTGAACGTGCCCTGCAGGGGCATACTCAGGGACGTAGCGTAATACCGGCCCCGGGGCCCGCCCCCGAAATCGGCCGGGGCCCGAAAATTTCATAAGGGGGACCCTTATGATTTTTATTTTCTCAAAAATTTTGCTGCCTGCGGCGCTATTTTTTACGTTTTTACGGCTATTTGTAGAGCTATGGAACCTTTTTTCAAAAAATTTTGCCTGCGGTGCTGTTTTCTCGTTAATGTTTTGAATTTTTTGGAAAAATTTTTTGGGCCCCCCCCCCCGAAATTTTTTCTGGCTACGCCCCTGGGCATACTACCTCTGCCTGAAGTGCTTTCACGTTCGCAAAAAAAAGCAAAAGGGCACCAACCTTTTTCTCACCGGCAAATACTTCTGGCGCGGTATATCGCAAAGTACCTGGACAGCCGTAGCTGAAGATGAAAATTTTTTTCACGCCGTCTTGAAGGACACTCACTTTGAATGCTCGGTTAGCTCCGACTTTGATCCGCCAAAGTCGCAAAGTTTTATTTCATATTGTGGCCCGAGAAGTATGCTGAATTTCGTGAATTCGAAAAGCAGTGGACCCACTTTGACGGCTTAATATCGCGATGGTAAATTCTCTCTGTTTCAAGATAGACTAAAGCTTCAAATAATTCACATGCCCAATCGATTACAAGTGCAACAGAATAACGTCGATTCTCATCGGTGATGACTAAAATCTGTGTCAAACCCAAACGATCACGATCCCACATGTTTTCAGGTCACCACGTTTGCAATATTCCATCACAATGTTGGCCGTCTTCCCGTCGTCACTTTGAAAGAATTCTATATATTCCACAATACTTGGATGTGAAAGTTTTTGAAGGTTTTCGACTTCACGGCGAAGGTGGGTCGGGTGTACAATCTGTCTAATACGCTTGACAGCCACATAACTGGAAAAAACAAAATTTTATGTGAAAAATAAAATATACCGCCCATTCCTGAACTCGCAATATACAGTGCCAAAACTTCCAGAACCAAGCTCACGACCTTGGGTTGTGCTCATAATTAGTGGCCGGAACAGTCAAAATTAGTTTGAAATTGGCGATGTGCTGAAAAATGGGCCGACAGTAAGCCTATTCTCGCTGTTCTCGCACGAATCGATTCGGCCACGCTGTTGTGATAAGGCGCCGCTAGCTTGGCCCAGAACAGGGCGAAATTATTGGCTCATTAAAAAACTAGGCAAATGCCAGCGTCACGACGAAATAGGCCAAATACGGTTTTGCGTAAAAAGGGGTTGCCAGAGCTATAATCCCCTGACACGTGATGATCAGATATGATCTTGATCCTATCATCTGAGATAGCCTCCATTGTTTATCACACTAGGTCAGACCCTCTCCAACACAAAAAATCTATATATCTGTAAGTGGTTGCGCCTGGGTCACACTGTCTAATTTCTTACATGCATCGGATGTTGAAGTGGTTGACATTGGTTCCCTTGACCTATGCGATATCAAAGTCTCTATTTGGTAAGTTTCAATCGAGCAATGGCCAACTTTCTCCGTCCTCTAATTTTCTTCAAAATCGTCGTTTAGCCGATTTTTCAAACGGATTCGCAAAAACTATTACGGCAGACTTTATCCGGCCTCGAAACCCTTGTATCTCCAAAAATTACCCATTTTCAGCAAAGTTTTGACCCCGACTATTAGAATTCGGTTCTTTAGGTTTTAGGGAGCAAACCAATTTTTTTCGACACAAGCCGAAATTTTTTTATAAATAGCGGATGTCTAAATTGTTTTTGGCTATCCCTGACTATAAAAACTACACACATTTCGATTAAAAAATTTACGTTTCGGTCGAAAAATCCTATAGAACCTTTAGGAATAGCGGGGGGGTGAAGACCCAAAATGACCAAATTTTCGACTTTATCAAACATTTTTCTACCTTTTTTGTAGGTTTTACTACTTTACATATAGTCAAAATTCACAAAGAACAACGTGAAAACACTTTGTATTTGATTACTAGGTCAACCGGGACCGCCAGGGAAAAATTGGTTCCCCCCCGCGGAAATCCTTTCCCCCGGAAATCCTCAAGAACCGAGAATTTAGTTCTTTATTTTAGTTATTTTTTTTGGTGGGAGGCTAAACAATCTTTTTTCACAAACACGTTTACTACACGTTATAGAAATACCCTCACCCGGTGCCCTGGTTTTGGAACACTTACTCGAAAAGCAATGGCCTGCAGAGAATATGTCCGAAGTTTCGGCAGCTTTCAAAGAATACCTTCGGGACAGTGCTGCAATTGCTCAATTGATCGCCGCAACAACTTTGTCTCACATGGCGGTAGGCAAATTCTTTTTTAAAGGGATAACGACGAAATAAGTAATCGGTGACGCGGGGGCAGGAAAATGTCACTGCGTCTCGCCCCTGGGCGCGTTCTTTGCCCTGTTGGCTACGTGCCAAGGAGCCGATCTGAGGTGATCGACCCATGCCGTCGGTATCCCTTTAACTTTACCAACGCCTCGAACGCTAAAAACGCAAAACGCAGAAAAGACAAAAACTTCTTCAGGGTTCTACCAATCCCTACGTCCGCAACTTTACAAACACTTTGAACACCGGAATCTCAAAAATGAGCCAACGTATCGATGAGGGATTCTTGACGAGAAGTGTCCAGAGGAGCGGAGTTTACGAGGTATAAACTTAGATTTTCTTGTTGAGATTCATATGGTCTGGTGAAGAATTCATGTGAAAATGGATCAGATCAAAAATTCTAAAAAAATTAAGTTTCTAAAAATGCTTTGATAACTTTTTCGTAATACATCGGAAACTGTCAAAAATAGCATAAAACTTTTTTATGCTTTTTACATTTTTAGGATATGCTTCGTAAAATGAATAAGTTCTTCTTGAAAGCGTTGGCCACAAACGAGATGAGTCTGAGCTTTGCCTGCCATCATTTATCCCCTGCCGCAATGTTCCAGGTAATAGTTTTCAATATACATCTGAAAACAATCGCAAAAATCACAAAAAACGGGAATATTTTAGATCTTCAACCGGTTGCTCCAGTGTGAGCCGATAACCTGGCAACGGCACATATTTATCTCCTCATTGCTTCTCTGGTTTGATTTTTACGCCGTACGAAATAATCTCAAAAAAGAGGAGGCTGATGATTATGAACATTACAAAAACAGTAAGTCTTCAAGTCTTTCAATTGTTCTTCCTGTGAATTGTTCATTTTTTTATAGAAATGGAGGGATTTCACACTTCTTTCCAGACAATAAACAATTTTCCAATAAAAATTATGATTAAGTGGTTTTCCAAGTTACTTTATCACATCTTCATTTTAAAAGAAAGTTAAATTGTAATATCAACTGGGATATGCGTAAAAACTTTACGAATTTCGGTTTCACTATACAAAAAAAAGTCAAATTTCCAAAGTTTATTTTAAGATTTCAAAATAGCTTTTCCATTTTAAATCTGGATAAATTTTATCAAAAACCAATTCAAATACTATATTGAATTTTGATAATAATAAAGGCGGCACATCCGCATAAAAAAATTTTCCTCGCCGTTTTTTTGTTCAGATTACGTCTTCATGAAGTCAACGCCGGGACACTCAAATTTTTCTTTACCCGCGACGTTATTAACTGGGGACAACGGTGACGATATACGGGATGAAGGGTTCAAGGCATGGTGTACGTCGTCTAGAGGTTCAGCCTTTCCATTTTGCACCTTTAGCGTTTGCTACCGATGCTGGTCCGAGACGCTCCGATATGACGCCCCGGATGGCCTATTTCGCGCCGATGAGCAACGAAAAGTGGGTGCTTTTCTGTTACCGGGGGGGGGCAAATTTGCATCGTTAATCCGGTATTTTTTTTTATAGAAAATACAAAACTCCATAACCATTTGCCCGTTCGGCAAAAATTTGGTTTTTGGCGGAAAATGACCAAAAATTATGAAATTATGAAATTTTTAAATTTTTAAGACGTATAACATAATTTCTCAGTGATTAAATATGTTATATACCATATTTCATGAAAAAGTAGGTTTATCCAAAAACCTAAAGGTTAATTTGGTTGGTTCGCCTCTACGGTTAGACCGAAAGTGCCAAACACCAGATAATGAAAAAAGTATCTATAGATGTATGCTGGAAATGCTGAAAGCGGATTACACGTTACGGGCCGAATATATTGGCGAATTGGGACAGACGATGATCAGGGATTTGGAGAGAATTGTGAGCAAGCACGCCCAGATTCGGATCCAATTTTCTAGTGGATTAGAGTGACTATTTTTAGACCGTATTTTCATATTCCTAGTCGTACATCTTTTCAAAAATTTTTGGAAAAATATCGATTCAAGATTCAAGAATTTCGAAACAGACAAAATCCAATCACATCAATTTCAAAGAATTGATTTAATTTTGCAGGCATTACTCTCTGATATTTGCCGCCGTGTCCTTGTCAATGAGCCAGATTATGTGTCCGTATACAAAGAACAAGATATCGTCGGCACCGCTGCAAAACTTCAACAATTGCTCTTGGCTAGACTAGTAAGATTTTCGTTTGCTTTGCTTTATCGCTAATTCTCTAATTCAACTCAAGTTTCTGCTCAGCATTAATTCCGCTTTACAGAAATACGCGATATGGCCACCAGGATCTCCAAATTATTACTGAAACAGAAAAGGAAAAACGACTAAAGCCGGAAGCCACCACGATCATCCAAAATCGGCTACTGGCAAATTGCCGGTAATCCTTTGCCTCGATTTTACTTTTTGCATAAATGTCAAGATTATTACCGTGTCACTGTAGAAATAAACAGCTATGGTTCTCGTGTGACTGTTTTAAAGCGTTCTGCCAAGGTAGCCAGGGTCTGAATCGTTTCGCCCAGCGAGATATTTCTACCCAAAATTCACTTTTTTTTTGACGCACCCTATAGTACAGTAAGTCATACGGTCTCTACGGTCAATTTATTTCCACTGTGTTCGTAGCATATTAAAATAGGCATTTGTTTGGTCGTTTCCCTTTCGCGGGTCATTTTCGTAGGGTAATGGTCGAGTGTTCGCTCGGCAGAAGGGGACTTTTTCTGAAAATCGAAACTAGTACTTGCAAGCTTCCGAAAGGCGTACCTCTCAAAATTCGGCGCCACTCGGATCGCCAGAAGAATGGGAGAAGGAGTACCGGTACGGAATAGCTGGAAAATTATAGGGTTTATCTCGAAAATTTCAGTATATGGTAACACAGAAACACGTGAAAAGTCAACACATTTTTTTGGAGCCTTCGAAACCGCGGAAAACTGTTCATTTTTGAGTGTTTTATTGTTTACACAATAAAAAGTTTTAGAAACTTACTAATTGCATACGGTGGAAAAGAGCGCTCGCCACCAATCAAAGTCATAATCATTTAATGAATATACTAACGGTACAGAGAAGACGACCAAGAAGATCATATTCAGGATGAGGGACGGGGCGAAGAGCAATTTGTAGAGCTGAAAAATCGAGAGTTGCAGATATTTCGACGCCATAGTTGTCGTAATCGAAAAAGGCGCATTAACATTTCCGATCCACAAAGGTGAAAGACGAGCCGAAAATGTATATCTATTAATGTGCTGACACCAAATCGACCAGCTCTTCAGTTTTTATAGCAAATTGGGAGCAAAACCCACCAAAATAATGCGAAAATTCTCGATAATCTGGTATCTTTCGCTGAGGGAATAGACCGCGACGAGATTGGGTTTGAAGAGTTGATCGTGTTGTCGTTCCGTTACGGTTGAGACGTATTTGTAGAGCTGGAAAAACAGATGCAAAAGGTACTGAATTGGGGATGATTTAGGTCTCCAAAGGAAAATTCTAAAAACTCACCAGGGATGAGAGGAAATTGACAAAAATCATAAAAGCGAGCAGGTAGAGCATGTGACCCCATTCTGAAAAATAACGAAATTTATTCTCTCTCTTCCTTCCATCCATCTGTGTCTCTCTCCACTTTTCTCTCGTTCTCACTTTCACTC